AAACTCTGTCAGTCTGACAATCTCTGAACAGAGGCCGTATGAAGAGCCTATAATCTAGACTTATGTTGATCCTTTTCTTGCAAATCTTTATAAGTGAAAGTTAACCATTAACACAGAGTATTGCAAGAGGTATGTTAGAGTTCTCTACAGAAAAAAATCAACAGAATCTTTTCCCCTCTCTATATAGAGATATTCAAATTCTTAAAAAACATTAAGCTTTGGGACGGTTAGTTATGCAGCAAGAGAAACTAGACTAAAAGAGCTTCATTGGGATCTGAGCTGTGATGAGTTCTGATACTGAGCAGATCGGCAAGGGGTAGAGCTGGACAGAGATTCACTGTCTATGGGGAAAAATAGAACAGTTCTGTATTGTTGGGCTAAGATGAAGAGATATGTGAATTTAAACTGGCTGAGTTAGCCACTGTTCATAGGGTTAGCTGAGGCAGGAAAACACTGAACTTAGATCAGAGTCTGGGCTCCAGGTCAGTCCAGATGTTCAAGCCAGGAAGGAAGGCAAGGAAACACATTTCAGAGCAGAATAGATCCCAAAATCTGGAATAGCAGACAGAGCTGTCTAGATGGGTCGTATGGGCATTCATGATGTGGGAGATCACGTAACAGGAACTGGGGGCTTGGCTCAGAAGTCTACAGGGAGGAGGGAGAACCAGCCTCAAGTGCTCTGGGACTGGTTACGATGGAGGTGGCGATGGAAAAACTGTCGTAGCTATTAAGTCAAATAGTCCCAAGGCTGAGCTCCACGTTCATCTCTTGGAGTTAGAACTGAGATTAGCGCTCAGCTTAGAGGTGGGGCAAGGAGGACTAGGCATCTCCTATTAGTCCATGTAACCAGTGAATATTCTAATAATTCTTTGAGTATAGACACAAATGAATATTGGAATCTGATAAAGTCTTAACATTTTTGCTTAGGCTTGTCTTTTTTGTTCTCAAGGCAAATTGATAGGTAGTTTTAAAGAACGAAATGTACGCTAGAGGCTCCTGAAGAGGTTAGTAGTGTACTAGATAAAGCACGTAAGTGTTTACGTAGGCGTAACAGTATTTGCGGATTGTGACTTTGGAGCGGATCTTACTGGGCTTTGTCACTCCTCTGCTTGAGGTTTTTTCCTTTTCTTTTTTTTTTTCCTGAAAGCAGCAGCTGAATTCTTAAGGTAGCATGAGCTGGATCCCCCTCCCTTCCCAGCCTCCAGACTTTCTGTTAAGTCTAGGTCTTCGCACGTACTCTTCCCTCTAACTGAAAGGCATTTCAGCTTACTCTTTTCCTTCATGGCTTCTGTTCATCGTTTAGACCTTGGTTTAAATGTCACATCCTTCAGAGATCTCTAAAGTCACCAGTCTCCTTTGTAATTCTCTTCTAACTTTTTTCTTCATTGCTTTTACCATAATTGCATATATCTGTACCTTTGTTTAATGGTTGTCTCTCACTCTAGAATGTGATCTCTATTAGATGTGGGGACATTATAGTTCTTTCCATGACTGAAGCTGGAAAAGAGAAAAAGAAGTGAAAATATGGTAAAGTAACAGAAAGCAGAAGAGGCAGGAAAAATTGAGGGAATAAAACATACCACCTAAAGAATTAAAAGAATTGCAGTTTTAAGACCATTTAGTGGAGGGAAATGTGCTTAACACATCTCAATGACCCCTGATGACTGTAAAATGAGTACCCTTAATGAGCGATGAAGAACATAGGTGGTTCAGAAATTAGAACTGTTGTACACTGCTGATGGGAACGTAAAATGGTGCGGCCATCCTGGAAAAGTTACGCAGTTCCTCCACAGATTCAACACAGATAATATGACCCAGCAATTCCGCTTCTAGGTTACGTGTCTAAGAGAAACGAAAACATTTCCACACAAAAACTGGTATGTCAACGTATATAGCTGTGTTATTCATAATTGCCAAAAGGTATAAACAACCCAAATATCTACCAAATAATGGATAAAATGTAGTATATTCATACAAAGGAATATTATTCAGCCAAAAAAAGGAATGAAGGGCTGGCACATGAAATAATATGGATGAACCGTGAAGACAAACTAAGTGAAAGAAACCAGACACAAAAGGCCACATACTGTATGATTCAACTTATACAGAGTTCGTATAGAGAACAAGCAAATCCAGGCAGAAATCATACAGACCACCTACACAGACTCTAGGACTGAGGGTGGGTGGGTGTGGGACTCACTGCCAGTGGGCACAGGGATTTCTTTTTGGAGTGATGACGATGTTCTAAATTTAGACTGTAGTGATGGTTTCATTACTTTGTGAATATACCAACAACAACAACAAAAATCATTGAATTGCATACTCCAAGTGGTTGAATTTTAAATGTGAATGATGTCCCAATAAAAATGTTAAATTATTACTCATAGTAGTAATTATGTTCTGTAAAGTTGCTGCAAGTACTGAATTAGCGAACACCAAACCATTGCTCTTAGGGGACACATGGGGTTAGGTTCCTGGAAGCCTCTGGTCACATTTTTGCCAACCTATCAATACACAGCCTTGTTTTATGTGTTTCTGTTTAAAGACACTTAATTTAAAATGTTGACTTACTAACGCTGAACTCATGGCCAAGAGCACTGTAACTCATGCCTGAACAAAGCTTGTTCAAAACATGTATTTGCTCCCACGGGGCACATCACAGCTTCCTTGCACTCATTAGGAACACTAGACAGCACTTCAGTGCTACACTTGGGGGCCACTTTAAAGAGCTAAATCACCAGCAAAAAGTATAAAAATGCAAAAAATGTGGCACGAAACAGACTATAAAAAGGACTCTTGTTCACGGCAGGAGCTGAAGCAAGGCAGACTGTCACTTTGACCTTGGCTGGGAATGTGTGCAAGGCGGGGGGACTCAAAGTTGTCACTGCTCTGTGCACATCCGTGAATGGCTTCAAAAGCACTAAGAATATTGTGATCGTGGGGTTACACTTTTAACGAGTAGGTGAATTTGCAAATACGGTTTTTAAAAAAAGTTTTGAATTTCAAGATCTAAACTTCAATCTTTTTATAATGCTAGATAAAATGCTATATGTATTTGTAGTTTCCAGAGTGGCTAACGGGAAAGAACCAGTTTTAGAAATTTGAGACAGCTGTTAGTTTTATTTCTTTGGTATTTCTAGATAACCATGTTTCCTGCTACTGATTCCTGGGCTAAGGACCATTTTGAAGGTAAAATATTTATTTTAATCAGCAAAAGTCTAATTTGAAACCTGGATCACAAAAGTAGGCCCTCTCTTCCAAGGAAAAGTCCTCTGTTACCACAGAATGTAATTAAAAGCTACTTTAATTTTCAAGTAAAAGAAATACAAAGTTGGACTAATCTCTAATCTGTACTCCTACTTTCCATATATTTGTAGACATGCTTTCACATGCTAGCTCCTGCCAATTTAAATTTCCAAAGTTTTGCAGTGTTTTCTTTCAAAAATATTTTCTACATTTTTATTAACTTTAATTTTAGATTGGCTTTCGAGTCTCAAATCCTCTTAAAACAGGATATGTCAGTTCTTGCTCATAGCTTCTTGCAAGAGGCTTTTGCCAAATTCAGGAATTTAGAGATAAATTAACCGTTTTAGATTATAAGTAACATAATTTTGGCAGGGGAGCAAATTTATAAATATCAAGTGACTACTGCATATCCATATTTGTGAACCTGAGTAAGCTTAAATGTCAGATTTTGGCTGTAAAATTGTACTTTTTGGGATCAGTATTTCTATGCCCCTTTCTTGGTAATCAAGATTCATGTCTTTAAAAAGCTTTTAGCCGTTTTTGGATTGGAATTGGCAAAAAAACAGTTGGAATTGGCTAATTAACTCAAACTTCCCAATTAAAACAGTGGAGCTTGATAGAGATACTTGTTTACTCATCAACTCAAGAACTTAAAGCTTTAAGTTCTTCAAAGTTCAAGGTTCTTCAGTCTCTTTTGATCTCTAATAATAACTTGATACAATAGGCTTCTCATTCTTCAGTCTCAAGGCCAGATATTCATTTAACCGGCCCCTCTTGCCCACAACAAATTAGTTTTCTCTGCCAATCTCAGCAGTTCTGAAGTTTCATCCCTTCCATCCTGCTACTCTTGTGAATGTGGTAGCAACTCCTCTCCTGCTGTTTTCCCCACTGCCCATGACTGGCTTCACCCTCTCTTGTTCTGAAGTAAGAACCACCACTGGGGACTAGTCATCACCCAGAGCCTCGTACTGTCAAAGTGATGGCTCTCTCCATTACCACGGATGATCGGAAACAGACCACAGCCTGTCTGCCAGGATTTCCCATAGTATTTTATTTTGACTAATCAAACTGCCCAGGATTTATTCATTCTCGGGTTGGCTCTAAAATGTCTTAATTTTAAATATGACACAAAATGCTAGTAAAGATTAATAACTGACCTCTGTCAAAATAAATATTCCATAAACATTTTCTGGTAGAGCTGTCTTTAAAAAGCTTTCAAATATCTTTCATTAAGATAACTTAATTCAAAATAAAAAATTAAAGTTTCCAGATTGAAAGAACTTGCCCTAAAATTGAATTGACACAATACGATATTAGATCACTTGAGAAGTTAGTAAAGAGGTTTATATGACTCAAAGTCATTAGGATGAATGCTGGTCTTAGTGAACCACCTTTAATGAAGAAGTCATTTTCATCAGATGGAAAGCTAAATAAGTAAAGAAAATCATTTTAATAGCTCATAAAAATTCTGTATTTTAAGAGCTACTCCTTATATGTCAACGAAAATCTGTTCATAAATGAAAGCACTTTTTGAAAAATTAAAAAAAATTCAGACAAATATAAAGCAGTATATATATAACAATAAGAAGTTATATTTTAAACAAAAAAGCTATTTGTGTCTTTTGGCTAAAAAAAGGCTTATGTGAAAAAGATGAATTGAGAAATGTGAAAGGACAAAGCAAAGAATTTCAAATTCAGATTTTAGAAACCTTTTATTTATATTTGGTCTTACACGTATTCATTTTAAAATTGACTCTGCTGTAAGAACGTAAAGCACAAAAATTTGCTAAATATCAGATCCACACAAATCCTCAAAAAGGTTTTCTGTGTAGTCTTCATTAATGCGAATCTCTGTGTGAATGTTTCACTCTTACCATAGATCTTGAATCTGTTTCACAATAATGAAGCCATCAAGTTTTTATGCAGTGCATTCATTATAAACTATAACATTTCTATTAAAAGGAAAGCTGGGTAATACAAAAATGAGAGAGGATCTGAGCAGCAGGCAATCTGGTGAGGCTCTGTGTAATCTCACCTGCTTTGTGGTTTTCTGTCACTGCGTTCAAAGAGCGCACAGCACACGAGGCAGAGTATTCACCTCCCTTATTAACCTCCCTAGTTTAAAAATCTGTTGTTCGTAAAACTGGACCGATTATCACAAACTATCATTTGCATAATTAACCACAGGACTATTACGAAGCATTCTGTTAGTGGTATCGACAAACGTAGGAGGATGGAAATTTATAAAAAATGGGTTTTGTTAAGCTTGCTGACTCCTCACATATCATGGGCTGTGCTGCCACTTCAACTTTTAATTAGCGGTTTAATGCCTCACAGTAAAAGACTGATCGATGGAAGAAAGCAAAACTGTTTTCTAGGTGCTGTAATATTTCATGTGACAAGGTAACAAAAGGATAGGACAGAATTTAAGCAAGATTTATATGCGTTCCAACTTTTCACTCAGAAATTCTTCTACACTGTCTGTGTTCCATTTGAGGATGCTGAGCTCCTCAGCAATGTTCCCATTGTCGTCCAAAAGCTTCAGCACAGGGTCTGAACCACGAACATACTACAAAAAAGAGGAAGAGCTTAGTGTCTTTCCAGTTTCAACTACAATCCAAACCAATTCCAGCTTTATTAAATTTAATGGTAATAGGCTTTTAGATATAATATCATGAGAAGTCTTCAAGAAAGTCTTTCAAAAAAGTGTAATGGGATTTCATAAAAAATGAGAATTAAAAAAAAATTTCATTTTACTTCTGAAGAGAAACACCAGCTGGGATCAAGACAGTTTACTTCGGATGTAAGCTTATTCTTGAATGTAATAAATATTGCACACACAACACACTCAAGCTCTCAAATGAGTTGAATCTAATGCAGGAGGCAGACAAGTTCAAAATGATTAATGAGAGAATCATGTTGAAATGGGCTGTGCATACAAATTACCAGACAAATTATTATTCTGTATTGGACTTTAAATTTTTCTTTGATTTAAGAAATCTGACGATTTTGTTATTAGTTTATAATTCAACTGGATTCTTGAAACTTCAGATCTACTAGTGGGGTCCAATGTTTTGCCAGAAAGCCCTGAGGAATTCTGACTCAGGGTAAATGTGACACAAATATGATCCCATTCGTTAAGCGATCAATCTTCAATGATACATTAAGTTAGAGCTGTGTAACTAAAAATGTAGCAGTGATGAGGAAGGGGGCTTTCAGCAATTAGACTTCCGTTTTTCTAGGTCTTCCAGGGCTATGAACTCCAGAGATAGAGACAAGCTCTATGATTATGAGCATCTGGTATATTCTCACCCATTTGTGGAGTTAAGAAATAGGCCCTCTTAAGCTAATGAAGCAGTAACATTACTCCTTTAAATCTTTTGGGTCAGGTTATGAACATAGATTGCTTTAAAAAATTCAATTTTTTTGCAATTCGTTTTTATTTAAAAACTCATTTCAGTTCAAAAAAGTTAAATTATAGAACACAGTTGCAAAAATCCTCAATATTAAATCAATCCAACAACAGATACAGAATTATATACTATGACCAATTTGGATTTATTCCACATATGCCAACCTGGTGCACCATTTGAAAATTAATGTAATGCATTACTATCAACAGGCTAAATAAGAAAAATCCTATGATCATATCAACAGATGCAGAAAGAACATCCTATCACATGCTACAGTGTAGATAGACCTCCAGGACATTATGCTGAAGTGAAATAAGCCAGTAATGAAAGGGCAGATCTGTACGATTCCACTCCTATGAAGTATCTCAAGTGGTCAATCACAGAAACAAAGTAGAAAGGTGGCTGCCAAGGGCTGGAGGAGCTCCTCAGCAATGCTCTGAGAAAGAGGGGAGAGAATTAGTGTTTAGTGGGCAGCGTTCTAGTTCTGCAAGATGAAAAAAATCGAGATATGTTGTAAAACAGTGTGAATACACTTAGCTATGTTAAGTGTACAGTTTGGTAGTGTTAAGATGCTTAAGTTCAATGTTAAGTTTTGTTTTTCAACCACAATTAAAATTTTAAAAAGTGGGCAAAAGATCTCAACAGATAAATCAAAGAACATATACAGGTGGCAAATAAGCTTATGGAACGATGTTCAAACAGGGAACTGCAAATTAAAACAATGAGTAACATTGCATACTTATAACATGGATAAAATCCAAAACAATGACAATAACTAATGCTAGTGAGAGTGCGGAGCAGTAGGAACTGTCATTCATCACCAGTGGGAATGCAACGTGGTATAGTCACTTCAGGAGACAGGTTGGCAGTTTCCTACAAAGCTAGACAGTCTTACTACACAATTCAGTAACTGTGCTCCTAATTACCCAAGTAAGTTAAACTTATGTCTACCCCAAAATACACAGCAGCATTACTCATAATTGCCAAAAATTGGAAGTGACCATGTCCTTCCACAGGTGAGTAGAAAAACAAACCATGGTGCAACAGAAGACTATGCCTACTGTTCACGATGAGCTATCCAGCTACAGGAAAGACACAAAGGAACTGCAAATGCATACTGAGTTCAAACTGAAATCTGAGAAGGCTATCTGCTGTAGCCTCCTGTACCTACTGCATGATTCCAACTATATGACAATCTGGAAGAGGCAGAACTACACAGACAGTAAAAAGATCAGTGGTCGCCAGGAGTTGGGAGGGCAGGGTGTGGAGAGGAAAGAACAGGTAGAGCACAGGGGCTTTTGGGGGCAGTGAAAACATTCTGTATGATACTGTAATGGTGGATCCATGATCTTAAGCATTTGGAAAAACTCCTAGAACTACACAGAGAATAAGCCCTCACGCAAACTAGGAAATTTAGTTAATAATGTAACAATATTGGCTCATCAATTGTCACAATGTACATCATCAACGCAAGATGTTAATAAGGGAAGTTGAGGGTGGGAGTAAACGGGAACTTTCAAATCAAGTTTTCTGTAAACCGAAAACTGCTCTAAAAAATTACCTATTAATCAAAATATTTAAGTATTTAAATTAATGCTGAAAAAAAAGAATCCCATTAAAGTTACATTACCTTGATTTGTAGTCCTCTGAATAGTTTGGGTTTATCACTCCTGACAAAAGCTTAAGAGAAAAAAAAAGATTCAAATCATTCACTCTCAAATCCAAGCTAGCTACAAAGATCAATACAAAAAGTAGAAATAAACCCAATAAAAAATTAGCTCCCAGATATGGAAAAACCAACAAAATTAAAACACATATAAATGGCAAGACATCCCATACTCTTCAGGGGAAGACTAAATATTTTAAGATGATAATTGTTTCAAATTAATCGAAGTCCTAAATTCCAATGGAATTTTGAAAGCTTGACAAAATGACAGTAAAGCTCAGTTATAAGAGTAAATGTCTGAGGATAGTCAGGGCAGTTTAGAAAAAGTAAAATATAGGAGAATTTGTTCAACTGTTTATTAATATACTATGGGATACTTATACCACAGTGGATAAAACAAACAGATTAGGAAATCTACAGAGAGAAAAATATTTGTATTTTTCAATATGCTAAAGCTAACAAACCAGAGAGAGAGGTGGGGAGGGAGAGATTACAGTTGTGTGTGTCTGGGGAGGGTGTGTGTGAATTATTCAATAAATACTTTCAAATATCTACTGTATAGCAGACAGCAGAGATAAAGCTATATAAAACAGACGTAATTCCTGCTCTGGTGGGAGTTTAAGTCTTGAGGGGAAGAAAGGTGCTAAACAAGTAACTGCATAACTGGCCATTTCAGTCATGATAAGCTGTAAAAAAGAAAAAGTTCAGAAAACTATCATAGCATTTAACACAGACAACCCAGATACGTAATATAAAATTCTTTTCCTGTGCATGAGCCTAAAGAAAATGCTTTATAGATGTGCCTATAGAAAAAAGGAAACTTAAAGGAAACCTCAGTGCAGCAAAACACCACTATATGCAAAATTAAAACTAATTCTCCCCAATATGTTATTTTTATCTCTAAGACAGTATATAAAAGGGCTCCTATTAATAAGAATAAATAAATACTACGTAGAGAAATGAATGAAGGACAGAAGTGTACAATATACAAACACACAAATGGCCACGAACATTTGAAATGTCCAACCTCACAAATAATCAAAGAATGTGAAAACAACGAGGTAACCTCATTCAGAGTGACAAAAAATAAAAAGAATATTTAAGGTTAGAGACGGGGAAGAGAAGATTTTGCTGCGGGTTAGTTGTGGGAGAAATATAAATGGACACATCCTTCCTGAAGGGTATTTAGCAAAATGAACCAAAAGTCTTGGAAATCTGCAAAGTCCCTTTCTAGGAATTTCTTTATTCTGAGGAAATAATCATAACATGAAAGATAATGAAAGATACATTATATAAGGTCCTGCTAACCAAGTAGGGAAATTTCAAAATAATCTGAGTGTGTAAAAAGCTACTGGTTAAATAAATTAACATGGACCTCACTAAGGAATGCATTCAATCATTAAAAATTGTAACAATGTATATTTAGTGATGTAGAAGCAAACTCTTACATAAATATATGTTCGCAAATGAAAAAGCCTAGAAGTATTAAATAATATATTTTTTTAAAGATTAAGAAAATATACTTAGTACAATACACAAAGCAGTTCAAAAATAACTTCTTCCTTTAATAGGGGATTACACATGGAGCATAGGGTTTGTGGAAATTTTAAATGTTTTCCCTTTTGGGTTGCTGATCTGCATTTTACCAAGTCTTCAGTAATGATCATGTCTAATTGTCCAAGTTAAAGAATTTAGAATACATTTTTCTAAAATAAACACAAATGGGATGTTTCATTTAGATACCTGACAGTTCATAATACCAGGTCTGTTATTGTTTACATCAGTCCCTATTTTATAGTGACACACTTCTGAAAATTTATTTTTTAAACTTATAATTAACTAGCACAATAGACTTGTTTCATTATGAAGATCTTTATATACTTGCATTCAGGACAATAAAATAAAGATTAGTAAATACTGAAGGTTTTGCAGACTTCCCCTACTAAATTTATTTCAAAATAAAACTGATTATATTATTCTGGCTTATTAGAGTATCTTCTCTATTAATTTCATCCTTTAAGATTTGTCCAAATACCCTACAGACTCCTGAATCCACAAACAAAAAAGAGCTCATGATGTCCGGTTGCATTTTACACCACTCCATTGGCAAATGCTACATGCACACCTATGCAAAACACCATTTAATACACAGTAAGTGTGTTCACCATTACGTAAGAAACTTTCCTGGGGAGAAGGACTATTCTTAAATATTTTTTTCTATCTGTAACACAGCCTAGCACATTTAATAGCTTTCTGTCATTCAAAAGATTTTTAACAGGCTGGAATGAGCAAACAAACTTAAGAGGAATATTAAGATTAGTCACTAATGACTATTTTCATCAGTCCTTTTCTCGTCTCTCTGCTGCGTATAAATCCATAAGCATCCTAATTTTGAATGAGGGGAATAGCTATTAAATGTCCTGTAGGAGAAAATCACATTTTAGAGGCAGCAAATTAATCTTTTAACAGATATTTGAGTACTTACTATATACACATAGTGCTGGGATAGGCTATGTGAGGATATAAGGGACTTGCAAAAAGACCCCATTGAAACTTATTTTCTATTTTAGTTTTTGCTGTTTTAAAAATAGATAAAGGATATCAGTTTGGAGATTCCTAAAGAAATTAATTCAGTCACTCTATTTTAATAAAACGTTCTTATGCCACATTTAATTGTCAGTTACAAAGGCAGATTTGTAAATAATACTTCAAAGTGATCAAATATACAGAAATGATTAGAAAACAGGTTAAATGTTTGTTTTGTTCTCAAGATTCTTATCCGATGCCATCTGTGCAGCTGCTAGGACGAGTAAGAGCTAAGTTTTTCTATTCACACTGCTTGCAAAGTCATGGGGGACTCTCATAACTCAGAGGCTCTTCCAAGTTAATGATAAAGAGTACTAAAAAATCCAAACCTAGCCTCCTCTTCATTCCAAAAAGAGGATACGTGGGGATGAGGGATAATAGGAAGGATATGTCTTGAGGTCAAAGAAAAATGTTGGAACTATGTTATTCTCAAAATCATTAACAAGTAACAATATGAAAAGAGGCAAAATATACATGGCTGAATTTAATGATGTACCTCCGATCACATTACAAGCAGTCAACACACTTTACTGGCTTTAAGATTGAATAAATAAGGGCTTATGGCAGGTACGATTAAGATTTGTAAACTGCCATATAAATTGTATGGAATGATAATTAGATGTTTTCCTGTTGGTTAAAAACAAGTTTATTTGAATCAGACTATATTCTAAATAAAAATGTCTCAGCAGACCCAGAAACGACAATGCAAAGAGAAGAGCAGCAGCAACAAACAGGGGAACTGAATTCCCAACTGTGCTCAAGGGAAGCTGCTGGGTAGCTAAGAGTATTTCTAAAATAAGAAAACTTACTGTTGTATACAGACTGCCTGCGGTGCAAAGTCTTACGTCATTTCGGTCCTCCCAACAAGACAATTTAAAAGTACTT